CATAGAGCAGAAAAAAGGAATCAGGCCCAAACAAGAGCTTCCTTGTTCTGTCTAATTTTCTATATCTGTGAGATGGGAGTTTCTACCCCTCAGTGCTTCTCTCTACACTGGTTGAGATGGCACTTGATATACTGTCCTCAGTGTGACTCAGAAAAGGCTGTAAGTACAAGGTGAAAGTCACCCATTTCATTTAGCTTATGACTGCATCCAGGGACTCAGTAAAATTAGTGAGCTTAAAACAAATATAATGGGGGGTGGGCACATCCACTTGTTGCCCACCTCCCTGCTCACTCTCTTCCTGGTTGCTCCCCACAGAATGAGAAGGTGCTAAAATGATGGGTGATTATTTTGGAATGTAACAAGCCAAAGAGGGAGACCAAGTTCAACTCCCTACAGCCCAGGGAGGTCAAGATACGAGAGAGGAATAGGATTCTCCTCTCAGTCATTGTTCCCCTTCTCACCCTATAACAATACCTTCTGACTGAAATGAATCATATCAAAACTGAAAATTCTACCAACATTTCTTCTTTAGAACCTACTGTGTGCTGGGCACTGTACCAGGGCTACAGATTTAAAAAGAAGAAGAAATTGGCTCTTCTTCTTGAGTAGTTCACGGTCTATTGGTATTCTCATCTACTATGGTGCTATACAAGGGGTAAGCTCTGAGTTCTGAGGAAATAGAGTCTGTGAGAGCAAAATAATGAATATGTAGGAGTTAGCCAGGCCTAGAAAGATGTTCCTTCAGAGAGAACCACATAAGCAAGGCCCGGGGACCACAGTATCCTTACCTCAAACCAACAAAGCCCCAAATCCTCACATGCCTACATAATGCATACCATATGTGGGGATGGAAGGAGGAGAGGGAGGGAATTGGTGAAATGGAATTTAAGCACGGAACTTTGAAGAAGTACATTAAAAATAAATCCATAGCCTTCTTTCCAAAGTAAGAGGGTAAAAAACAAAACAAAAAAAACCCCATCTTTTAGAGTGGGTATAGTTAAAGCAAACTAATCAAACTTCCTAATCTCCACAGGTGGGATCAGACTCCAGGTGGCCTTTCAATCACAAAGCTGGTGTTTACCACTAGATCACATGAGGCAGATGGAAAGCAAGCACAAAAGCATGTGCGGGAGCACACACATACACACACACGTGTGCGGCTGTTGTGTAAATTCCAAACCATACGTTAGTTAAGTAGGAGATGATATCATAAGCAATACAAACTATGGAGGGTGGGGCCAGTCTACTTTGCTGGAGAGTGGACACAGCAATATCTAAGAATCAGATTTGAAGGAAGAAGTAAAACTGTCATTATTTGCAAATGACATGATACTACATTTAGAGAACCCTAAAGATGCCACCAAAAAAATCTATTAGAATAATAAATGAATTCAGCAATGTAGCAGGATACAAAATTAACATTCAGAAACCAGTTGCATTTATGCGTCAATAATGAACAATCAGAAAGAGAAATGAAGAAAACAATGCCATTTACAATTATATCTAAAAGTATAAAATATTTAGGAATAAATTTAACCAAAGTGGTAAAAGACTTGTACTAAGAAAATTATAAGACATTGAAGAAAGAAATTAAAGAAGATACAAATAAATGGAAGCATATACTGTACTTATGGATAGAAATAATTTACATTATTAAAATATTCATACTATTCAAAGCAATCTATAGATTCAATGCAATCCCTATCAAAATATCAATGTATTTTTCACAAAAGTAGAACAAACAATTCTAAAATTTATATGGAACCATAGAAGACTTTGAATAGTCACAGCAATCTTGAGAAAGAAGAACAAAGTTGTAGGTATCGCAATACCTGATATCAAACCATACTATAAGGCTATTGTAACCAAAACAGCATGGTACTGGCATAAAAAAAGACACATATATCAATGGAATAGAATAGAGAGCCCAGAAATAAACCCATGTCTATATGGTCAATTCATCTATGACAAGGGAGGCAAGAATATATAATGGGGTAAAGACGATCTATTCAATAAATGATTCTGGGAAAACTGGACAGATACATGTAAAAAAGTGTGAAACTAAACCATCTTCTTACACGATATACAAGCATAAACTCAAAATGGATTAAAGACTTAAATGTAAGACCCAAAATCATAAAACTCTTAGAGGAAAACATATGCAGTAAACTCTCTGACACTGCTCTTAGTAACATTTTTTCTGATGTATCTCTTGAGGCAAGGGAAACAAAAGAAAAAATAAACAAATGGGACTACTAAAACTAAAATGTTTTGCACAGTAAAAGAAACCATCAGCAAAACAAAACGGCAACCTACTGAATGGGAGAAGATATTCACCAATGATACATCTGATAAGGCGTTAATATCTAAAACTTATAAAGAACTGACACAACTCAACACCCAAAAAAATTAAAAATCCAATTAAAAATGGGCAGGAACCATCTAAGGAACTGTCACAGATTAGGGACAAAGGAGACACAACCTACTAAAATGCTGTACCAATGTTAATTTATTAGTTTTGATGTCAACATTAGGGGAAGCTTGATGAAGGGTACAAAGGAAAAAAAAATTTTAAAGAATCCAGGACGTTTTTGTTTCAAGTAGAAAGCAAATGCTCATTTGAAATTCAGGCCAGGAGAAAAATGAATAAAGCATTTCCAGGACTCAGCCCTCTCACAGCTACAGATTTATGCCTCCATTATGATGCTAATCTCCTTGCTTTGTAACTGTCAGTTTACCTATGTCCTCCCATTAGAAAGTAATACCATGTAGCGCAAGAACATTCTTATCATCTTTGTATTTTCAGCACCTACCCTAAAGCCTAATAGGTAATAGGGTTCAGTTGGTACAATAATTCTTAAAAATTCCATTCAGAGAAGAAACAATAGAAATTGTTTCAATGACCAAATTTGTTGTATTTATACCTTCTGTTTTCTTAAAGATCTTTTTCACCTTAAGATCTGTGTTATCTACAAGCAGAACTTCCTTAACCTGTGATATCTAATAAGACAAGGCATAGCTAACCTCAGTCAATATCTAGATTGGTAATAATATAGATATCAAATCATGTGGGTTCCTGCTTCATACTATACTGTTAACATGATATACATCATAACCAGGAATACAACATTAAGATAGTTAACATTAACTTGTTGTTACTTCAGAAATAGTTTAGGTTCTGGTTTCATGTGTAGTAATGTACTGGCTAAAAAAATCCCTGATTTATTGGAAAGAAGTTATTTATTTCTCCATAGTAAACAAAACTATTTATTTATAAATAACTTCCTTATGAACCAAGAGATTTATAATTTTTCAGTAAAGAGTTATAGAGTATTAGCAAATTTTACATCCATCAAATGCAGATATTTACTAGATTATAAACACATGTACACACACACACACACACACACACAAAGGGTCAGAGGACCTGAATAGACATTTCTCCCAATAGGACATATAGATGGCCAAACAATATATGAAAAGATACTCAGCATAAGCATCAGAGAAATGCAAATTAAAACCACAATGAGCTATCACCTCACATCTGTCAGAATGGCCATCTTCAATAAATCAATGAACAACAAGTGTTGGCAAGGATGTGGAGAAAAGGGAATCCTCATGCACTGTTTGTGAGACTGCACATTAGTACGGCCACCATGGAAAACAGTTTGGAGACCCCTCAAAAAATTAAAAATAAAACTACTTTATGACCTAGCAATTCCACTTCTGGGTAGTTATCCAAAAAGCTCCCTAACACTAATTCAGAAAGATATATGCTCCCTATGTTCACTGTAATATTATCTACAATATAGGTGGTACATATATACAACGGAATATTACTTGGCCATTAAAAAGAATTAAACCTTCCCATTTACAAAAACATAGCTGGACCTAGAAGGTCCAGATAAATCAGAGAAAGATAAATATCATTTATATGTGGAATCTAAAGAACAAAATAAACAAACAAACAAAACAGAAACAGACTCATAGATACAGAGAACAAACTGGTGATTGCCAGATGGAAGGGAGGTTGGGAGGCTGAGTAATAAAGGTGAAGGAATCAAGAAGTACAAATTAGTAGTTACAAAATACTCAAGGGGATATAAAGTACAGCATAGGGAATATATGCAATAATATTGTAATAACTATGTATAGTGCCGGGTAGGTACTAGATTAATTGTGGGGGATCACTTTGTAAATTATATAAATGTCTAACCACTATGCTGTATACCTGAAACTAATATAATAATATTGAATATCAACCATAATTGAAAATAAATCTTTTAAAAAAGAATCGGGTTTGGACCTCACTCCCAGCTCTATCTCTGTGAAATGACTGTCACCAATATGAATTCTGCCTTGCACTCCAATCTTTGGAGACCTGGCTATTTCTTAACTTAAATGGCATGAAGATGTGAGACCCATGCTGCAGAGAGTGGAAGTAATGGATGCCTGAAAGCATCTCTGTCATTTTTTTTTTGGTCTCCGCTACAAGCACATTTTTCATTCTAGCCTTTCAGTTTCCTTGCTCTGTGCCTTAGTTTCTCCATCCAACAATGTCAATTACAAAATCTGTCCCTAAATTCCTTATTTAGGGGAGATAAATAATTCCTAACATGGCTTAAGCTCCTTGAGCAGTAGCCATGTGTCCCAGAAGACAGGCCCCAGGAAGTCAGAATCACCTTAATCTAGAACAATGAACCTAAAGGTACAAAGACAGCTTTGGCTGTTCAATTTTTCATTCACTCAACAATGTTTATTAAGTAACTCTTACAAGCACCACAGAGACAGAACTGATGTTCATGTATCTTTGTTTTCTAGTCTCATTACACATCACTCGTCTGTGACTAATGGATAAGAGAAATTGACCAAGTTATATACCAGTGAGAGCTGTGCCTATGGAAAGTTACATCTTAATTCAGCCCTGCCACATGGGAAATGCGGAATAAAGCCATTAATAAAGTGACAAGGAAGGTAGCAGAATGCTGTGTTCAACTCACCTGGGAACACTAGTCAGGTAGGTCATGACATTCAGGAAGTCTTCATCTGGGATGTGTTTGAATCCCACAAACTCTGGAAAAGTGATGATGGGGGCACCATCTTTCCCTCGACCTCCTGCAAGAAAAATGGGTAGTCAAGATAATAGCAAAATGTTTTCATGTCACACCTCTGCAGGTAAAGGAGTCTGACTAATATCAAGTTGGGAGATGTGCATTGGCCTCCCCCTTTTCAATCTATATTATTTTACAGTAGAATGTGGAAAGGTTGACACTGAACCATTTTTAATCAAGTCTCTCTCCTCCTTCATATTTGCTGAGTGATGTGAGAATTCAATTTTTTAATCCTTTGAAGATAGTTATTGTATAAAAGGTAATGTTGATTTAATTATTTTAGCGTAGGTAGTATAGGAAATAATGCCAAAACAAATATATATTATTTCTCTTCATTTTTGTAGTCAGTAAATATCAAAGCTAAAAATAGCATGGTGATTAAGAAAGTTAGCTCTAAAATCAGACAACCTGGTTCAAATCCTGCTTTGCCACTTAATTTCTATGTGATTTTAGGCAAGATACTTAACTTACATACGAGTTTATATATTTATATGTATAATATACATGAATAATATATATGTTAATACTGCTTGTAACTACCTCAAAAGGTATTGTGAGGATTAAGTGAGAACATATGAAAAGCACCTTAGCAGAGTGCTTATTACATATTATGTGCTCAATAAATGGTGATAGTTATTATTATTATAAAGAGGCATAATCAGCTGCCCTTCAATAACTTATATGCAGAAATATAAGACATTCCAGTGAGTAAAAATGTAAAATTAATATTTAAATATTTAATTCATTGGAACAGAGACCACCAGATTAAATTAAATCGATTCTATTTCCCAACCTCCTTGTTAGATGTAGCCACATGACTAAGTTCTATCCCCACAGTTCCCAAACTGTGTGTCAGCTACTCAGAAAACCACAGTGAACTCACAGAAGCATCTTGAATATTTTAAATTTTTGAGGAAAACAGCAATAGTTGGCATCTGTTAGACACCATGCATGCGACTAGCTTGAGGTAGTTCACACTTTCAGCATTAATGCACTATATTCTTTAGAATAGCATTGTGTCTTTGTAAAGGTGGGTTTTTGGTGGCTGCTCAAATAAAAGCAAGGGTAGTATGAAAATCAGTGTAGAACAGGAAATGAGGTTGGTGACATCTAGTCTGATTCTAAGGTTTGTGATAATTGTAGTTATCTAAGAGTGAAATTTAACCGAAGTGCATCCTACAATAGATGATGAAGAGATGAAAAACTGCCATCTGCGACAACATGGATGTACCCTGAGATAATCATGCTAAGCGAAATCAGCCAAACAGAAAAAGTTGAAAACCATATGATGTCACTTATATGTTGGATATAAACCTAAAAGCAACAAACAAACAGGAAAAACAAACAGAGACTCATGGACATGGACAACAGACTAGTGGTTACCAGAGGGTAGTGGGTAAGGGGGAGGTAGACGGGGTAGAAGGGGTCAAATATGTGATGACAGAAAGAAATCTAACTATGGGCGGTGAACATACAACGCAAAATATATATGACTTACTGTTGAATTGTACACTTGAAACTTACTGGATTTCGTTAACCAATGTCATCATAATAAACAAACAAACAAACTTTTTTAAAAAAGAGTGAGATTTGAATATTAGTTTTTCTTTCAACTTATGTGTATTTATTTTTTCAAATGGCTATTCAGTTGTTAGGATTTATAGATTTATTAAGATGTTTTAACCATTAGGTATTGATTCTGGCCAAGAAGGGCTATGAAAAAATTACTGAGGTACTGAGGCACCGAGAACTGATGCCCTAGACAATGGTATATGAACTGATACGCTGCAAGCACCTTCCAGGTGATGCCTGTGGAGGAGAACCATGCTAAGAGGAATGATGACTACCAAGTAAAGCCAATTACTACAAATGATTGCATGTATTTCACTTATCTAACAAAAGAGGTATCAGTGTAGGGTGTGGTTAGTAAGGACTGTGTGATAAATATGGGTGTGGGATCTATGAAGAAATTACAGAAAAGAGAAGCAAAGGCAGGCAGTCTATCTGATGACATCACCATCAAGATCATCCAACCCATTCTGTCATTCTTAGTGCATGTCTGATAAGATCTTCTGCTCACATTCTAACTTTCCATATAAATTTGTTTCAAGGGAAAGAATGTGCTATTGAACAAACATGACTATTTGTACATGTAAAGAGTAAGTCAGCATTTTGGTAAGTCTTTTGTGAGTATTGTTAATGCAAATATTTGGTTCTCAAAGACCAGTCAGGAAGGTATGAAACTGTGAGATTTGTCCGGATGACTAGTCATTCTCCAGGAAGTTTCTCTTTACTAATCCTGTATGCTGAAAGTTTAAAAAAAATACCAAGCTTTGACAAGGAGACTGAGCTACCTCTTTATGTTGACTGAAACCATTTAGATCAGACACATTCAGCTTTTACCTAATATTCTTCCTCTTTGCAGTTTCACAACCGTAAGGAAATTCCAGAGAAACCCAAATTAAGAGAATCTGCATCTCTAGTAAGACTAAATTTAGATGCATTAAAACACTGTATTAGTTGCATCACCAATATTTGCCAAGAGAATAGCTAAAACATTTCAAGGAACCAAAACACCCTGAAATATTCGTTATGATATGATTACACGATTTAATGATTTTACCTTTTATTGTTAATTATATATTAAAGCTAGTCACACCTAAATGGAGAAAGGTAGGTGGAGTTTTCTTGTATCTTGGTTAATATTCATACTCAACACTAGAGAGGCCCTACCCTTCCCTGCCCCAAGGCTAATTTGGGACACCACCTGCTGTTGAACATTAGTCTTAAGAGGCGGAAGCACCAAAGAAACAAAACTGAGCCTCGGGACAGACGTTGCCAACCCACAAGATATTCAGTGCCACCTTGTGAAGAAACATGGAAATGCAAAAGGAAGAAAGGGCCAAAGAAGCCTCATTCAAGGAAGATAAAACCAAACTACTGGAACTAAGTAAAATGATTACCTAAATAAACTTCATTCCTCCTAGTATAATTTTTATCTGTTCATTAAATGACATGAAGAATTCATCAGATAGAGAATTTGGAATGCTGGGAAATCCTATAGGAAGATGGTGAAGACCAACAACAGGAAAGAGAATGAGGCAGTTACAGCCATTTGCCTTCTAGTATCTATTTTCCTTTTCTCTTTCCCCAAAAGAACTGATTTTAGCTGGATAAATGCCAGCCACACACCCCGGCAGACACTTTGGAAATCTCAGGGACTGGGATAGTAAACAATCTGTCCTATATAATCAAGAATTGTCATACATCCTATGTGATTTTCATATATCCTACCAGAAATGCAATATAAGTGAAAAATCCATCTATTTTGATCTGATTCTAGACTCTAACTCTGTTTTACACATAATCACGAAGATTTTAAAATATTTTTCCAGGTTTATTGAGATATAATTGATATATGACATTGTATTAGCTTTAGGTGTACAACACCATAATTTGATATATGTATATATATTGTGAAACAATCACCACAATTTTCAGTTAACATGCATTACCTCATACAGTTACAAACTTTTTTTCTTGTGGTGAGAACTTTTAAGATTTATTCTCTTAGCAATTTTCAAATATAAAATACAGTATTAACTACAGTCACCATGCTGTACATTACATCCCTAGAACTTACTTACCTTATAACTGAAAGTTTGTACCTTTTGATCACCGTCACCCATTTCTCCCACCTCCACCCCCACTTCTGGCAACCATCAAATCTGTTTCTATGAGCTCTCTCTTTTTTTTAGAGTTCACCTATGAGATATCATAAAGTGTTTTTCTCCGACTTATTTCACCTAGCATAATGCCCCCAGGGTCCACCCATGTTGTCATAAATCATAAAGTATTTTTAAACAGTTTTAATAGATACTGAATTTTCCAGGAACACAAGTACCCTATAAACTAAGGGAAGATAATACTTTCCTTTGTTCAGAACTTTATCAACAATTGCTTACTATTTTGGAAAATCTCTACGGTAAGGCCACTCAGGGTGTCTGATAACTCACAACACCACCCTCACATTTGCACCTGTCACACACATGGGGAAGCACCTGACGATTTCATTCTTTTTTCTGGTGTAGCTAGAAATACATATTGAAATACATATTATTTCATTATGCTTACTTTCCTTTTATTTCTCCTTTACATTACAGTTCTCCTTTACATTTTATTAAAAAATTTTTTTAAGTATATGAGTAAGTATGGGGGTGAATGTTCACCCTCTGTGGACACACAGCTAACTACATTTCTCAGCTTCCCTTGCTGTTAAGTGCATCCATATAACCAAGCCAAGTTTAAGTCAATGGAATGTAATCTGTGCTGTTGCTGAACTGAGGCTTTAAAGAAGAAGCATATTCTATTTCCTTGTCTGCCTTCTGGATGCAGATAATGAGAAGGCCACAAAATGGATAATAAGTAATAAGAGCCATGAAGTGAAAGGACCCTCTATTAGTAAACCTTCACATGAAGAAGAGTCATCTGCTGACCAGAAACATCCGTGCTGGACTGATCCAAGAGTAAGATCTAAATTTCTATTGTGTTTGTTTGAGTCACTATACACTTCAAAGTCTATTTGTTACAGGTTACAATATCTATAAATTTTATTTCAGGATGGTGAAGGGCAATACGAATCATTTGATATATCGAGGAGGCATTTGGTCCATTGAGAACCATTTCTGCAGCCTGCACTGCCCAACACAATAGCCACGAGACACATGTGGCTGTTGAGCATTTGAAATGTGACCAGTCCAAATTGAGATGTGCTGTAAGTGTAAAATACAAACTAGATTTCCAAAACGTAGTACAAAAAAAAATGTAAAGTATCTCATCAATAATTTTGAATATTGATGACAGGTTGAATAATATTTTAGATATAGTGGGTTAAATAAAACATATTATTAAAATTAACTTCATGTGTTCCTTTCTGCGTTTTTAATATGGTTACTACAAAATTTAAAAGTGCATATATGGGTCAGTGCATATATGGGTCACTTTATATTTCTATTAAATAGCACTGCTCTAGACCTCCTTGCATTGGTTTTTATTTCCCAGGTGCCTTGTTACTATCTCCATCTCTGATTGAGATATGTGTTTTGACTCCGCTCACTTCCTTGGTGAGAACTCCCCACTTGCCTTAGGGAACGCCACCACTGCCAACCCTGGGCTCCACTTGCATATGGGCGAAATGTTAGGGACTCTACAAGACTAAGAGTATTCTATGCCTTCATTATTAATTATTTCTAAGAGGATTAAAGGCAGGGATGGGGGAGAGGCATCCAGACTATGATTCAAAAGAGGAGAATGACTATTAAAATATAAAGAAAGAGAGGAGGAGAAAAAAAATGGCATAGATGATAGAGGCTCTGTTCATCCCTCTGGTGACCAAATCAAAGTTGTGAAGGAAACAAGGAGCAGCAGCAAGGAAAAATCACCTGGGATCTAGATGAATAAGCCATACAACTATGCAGAAATCCAAGAAATCACTCTGTAACAGCAGAAGGTAAGATGGAGGTAGGACACAGGGCTGCCCGGTCCTGAGCGGCTGAGTGAGACAGAGGCTTCAGCAGTGGCAGCGGCAGCGGCAGCAGCAGAAGCCTCTTAAAGGGGCATGTCTGCGAGTGGATTTTGGCAGTGACGGACCTGCTCGCTCTGAGCACCAGTGCCTGTTCGGCTGCATGTAGAGGGCACCAGGGACTTACAGGGAGATATTGTCGGAGTGAGGGCCTAAGCGAGACTCGATCGGTACAGAAGTGCCGGCGGAATCCATTGTTCCCTGTTGAGCCCTCCCCACTACCAGTGCGCCAGACACAGCCCTGCCATAGCTGTGACGTCATCAAACCGGGTCACAGAGGTCGCTCCGCCCAGATGATTCTCTGAAACTCTGCCTCCCCCAACTTGTGGCCCCACCCAAGCCACATCCAGGTATATTCTCAGTGAGTCAGGTGCTCCTTGCTGAGCAGTGCCTAGACTCACACTGGAGCCAGCTGGCCTCAGTTTCTGGTGTGGCCTTTTGAGGCAACTATAAGCATAACATCTGTGGATTACTTGCTGAATCTTGACAGGTGGCCCCAGAGGGGTAGAGGCTTGGGCTAAATTTGGCCTGCAGCTGAACCCCTCTCAGGACTGTGCCACTGGACACCTACTTCACAAATCCACACTAATAAGACTGGGAGACTTAGGAGCTTTGCTTATTACATAGAAACAGACACGGAAAGGCAGCCAAAATGGGAAGACAAAGAAGCAGAAACCATGTGACAGAACAAAACAGAGATCCAGATATAATGGAGTCAAGTAATCTAACAGATGCAGAGTTCAAGACAGTGGTTATAAAGATGCTCGATAAACTTTTGGGAAATGTAGAGAACTCCAACAAAGAGATAAATTATATATTCATTATATACTCATTGTGTAATTATATACTAATATACCGAGGCATTAGAGTTTTGGTATAAAGCTGTAGGAATCCACCTTGCCCCAACCCATCATCCATTCCAGACATGGTACATGTCGGCCTTAGGGCCTTCCATGGTGCAGGGCCACAGCAGCAGTTGCCAGAAACCCAGAGAGAGTCCCCATCCTGCTTTTCATTTTGGACAATCATAGGTTTGCTGTGAGAAGCTCTGAGACTGCACCTTTAAGAGGTTGGTGGGACGCTCCTGCCAGAGCCAACGCTGTGGTGTCTAGACGGAGGATTCAGGGAGCAAGGCACCACTGGCCTCACAGGACAGACCAGGAGGACCTGAGCAATTTAAAACTCAGCACCTATTACGTTTCGGGCTCCGTTCCAAGCACTGGCAATGCAGGCAGAAATAAGAAAACTGGGGACTTCGTACTTACAGAGCTTTCAGTGACTATACGAGCAATGACTAATGTGGTGAATTCCAGAGAATTTCTCAGATATTCTGGATCATGTAAGATGTCACCACTTAGGACACAACTCTGGGATGGGAGAGGTATCCAAATAACAGAGATTAAATTTCCCTTAAACTCAGTAGAATAAGGAGTTTAGAGCAAATTAAATAAGAAAAAAAAAGGAAATGTGACTTTTTTTACATCTCATGTCGTAGAGTAAAATAATCCACACCAACTACATATTCTCTCTGTGATGTATCTAAGATGGCTTTGTTGCATTTTTCAGAAGAGATATAAAAGATACAGAGTGACTTGTCACCTTATTCCTCTGTGATGTGTGCTAAAAACATCTAATCTCACTATCCCATGCTTCCAAGCTTAAGCTAACTATAATTTAGGGTTTGGTACATACCTCCAGTTTCAGTAATTAAAGTCATGTCACCCTTCGCTAAATGAATAATAGTAGTCTAGTAATGACAACTTTTCAAGGTTGTGCCCAGGCTCAGAAAATTTCTAGCATTTTATTAGTATTAGCCTCTCTTTATTCCCAATCAAATGCCTAATGCAAAACAATGTCGTTATAATTAGGTCCTTAAAAAGGAAGAATAAAAGACAAATCTCTCAGAGAACAAATAACCTCAGCAATGTTCATTTACCCTTAAAATCAAGACTCTCTAAAGGTTGGATCTTAGAAGAACAGCTAACAAGAACATTAGAAGAACATCATGGTGTCAGCTGATGTCACTAGTTATTTATTTTTTCTTCCTAAAAATTTTTTCGGCTCTGTTCTTTCATAACCTTGAAGAAATGTACTCCTTTGAGAAACAACAATTTGCACCCAACAGCAAACAGAATGCCATTTATGAGATCCCACCCCCTTTCAGCTGAATAGTCCCCAGTTCATTTTAGTCCTAGGTGAGGCTTAAGGGGTGACTGAGTCTTGAGTATAATGTTCACCAAGATTCAGGAGGCTGGGCTCTCCCAGCTGGACCCCACAACAAAATCTAGAAATGCAAATGAATTCGCCCCTTACCTGAAAGAATGGCAAATTGCCTGTGAAGTTGTTCAATTATATCCACTGCCAACAAGGGCCTGATTTCCTGCTGCATAATTTCATCTGTGCAAATGAAATACAAATTAGGTTAGAACCTTGCAAATTACAAAGAAAAATTGAAAGGAAGAAAGGAAAGCTCTACTATTAGGAAAATGTGCGACTTATCAAGATATGGTTATAGACACATTACTCTCTTGAGAACTCTATTCCTGAGATACATGCATGGATCTGGATTTTCAGTGGTTTGAAGCTTATATACATGAGAACAGGGACACATTTCTAGAACTTCTACCAAGCTTTTGGGTGGGGTTAATGCAAGGAGAGGCCCCTAAAGTTTAAGTTTCTATAGCTTCACAGTAAACCGTCTGGGACGGTCTCATTGCCAAGGCAGGTATTAAGGTTTCTGCTTACACTTTTGGGTCTGCGGGACATTTAAAACACAAACTACGTAAGTTACCACATAAGTTCATCTCAAGCTGGATCATAAAATCAATCTGGATTTATGAAGGTTCTTTGATTTTTGTTTCCCTCTCTCTCTCACTTCCTTCCTTTTGTCTCCCTCCTTATTCACCTATTTTTTTTTCCTCCAGAATACTTTAAGGGGCCTCTTCCCACTGCCAAGTATGTTTAAGGAGGCAATTCTTTATTTTGCTATTTAAAGATGCCACTTACTAAATAAATGGTTATAGGTATCCAAGGCAAAAATTCAAATCTTTCAAGCACAAATCTACAAATGTCCTCTGACCCTAACAAGTGATTTATAAGCCCTATGATTTGCACTCTACCCATACAGGGAAGGGGGATTGGAGAGAGGGGAAGACTAAGTGGAATGCCTTAGCCTGGGCTGGGAAGAGAAAGACATTTTCATGCTCTCTCTGCCTAAGATACTATTATCCTCATTCACTCAGGGAATCTCAAAGAATGAACTGGTTATTATTTCTATAGTTAAACATCTGGTAGATTAAGGCACAGATCAACAAGTCTGTACACTGACGCTAAGTAGGAACTGCCTATTAATTCAGCATGAAGTCAGGATAATGTCATGATACTCTAATGTAGACCAATCAGAGGTTGTATTTGCTAAGCTTCTCAGCTTTGGTGAGAAGGTTAAAAGAGATGATGCATATGGAGATGTACACAGTAGGTGCTTAGTAAATGCTGGTTATATCCATTTTTCTGGACAGGTCTTTCCCATATTTATTTTCTGAAAGTTGTATAAAGGATTGGACAAGTGTCAACTTAACCCTTAAAACCCTTCTTGGTGATTCTACCTTTTTTTTTCCTCCCCTGGAAGAAAGGGAGTAAACTCAGGCTGGAGCTCCTAAAAATTCAAAGAACTCCCGCATTGCTATTAATTTTATGGGTGCAATGATGGTACTGTTGTTATACTTTATAAAAAGGGAAGGCCTTTTCTCTGAGATACACAAAGTATTTAACAGTAAAATTTTAAGAAGTATGAGATCTGTTTAAAAAGATTCCAGCAGTCCTCCCTGCCAAAAATGTACAGGGAGAAGGGGAGATGAAACCAGATTGAGAAAATGTGGATAATAGTTGAAGCTGGTCGATGGGTCCATTAGAGTTCATTATACAATTCTTTTACATATATTTCAAATTTTCCATAATAATATGTAAATTACAATTGGATAACAACATAGAGAATTTAAGCAGAAAAAATAGTTATAAAACTGAAGAGTTTTTCATAATACAATCTCCCAGTGGTCTGGGAAAGCGGCATATTCAAAAACAGAGCTGGATTATTATTTTTTCATGCCTGAGGGAGTACATTTAAGAGACAATGACTCCAGAGAAAAACAGAGATTATAAGATGTAATTTATCGTTACTGTGCCTCAATATTTGAGGTGTGCTTTAAATTAAACATTTTAAATTAAAGATGTAAGATGTGAAAGGGACAACAGAAGTGAGTAAGCCAACCATCCCTTGCGTCATCTCATTTTTTAAATTTTATTTTGTTTTATTAAAATATAGTTAATACACACTATGATATTAGTTTCAGGTATACAACATAGTTATTCAACATTAATATACCTAATAAATGATCATTATGCTGTCTAGTAACCATCTGTCATTGTACAAGGTTACTGCAATATTATTGACTCTATTCCCTATGCTATACATACCCATCTCATTTTTCTCCTTAAGCCCATCCCCACCCCGGTTTGGCAACCATCAGCTTGTTCTCTATACTTATGAGTCCGTTTTTGTTTTGTTTTGTTTATTCATTTGTTTTTTGTAGATTCCACATATAAGTGAGTTCATACATATGTCTTTCTTCGTCTGACTTCACATGATACCCTCTAGGTCCATCTATGTTGTCACAAATGGCAAGATTTCATTCTTTTTTATTGCTGAATAATATTCTATTGTATATGTGTATACCACATTTTATTTATCCATTCATCTGTTGATGGACATCTAGGCTGCTTCCATATCTTGGCTGCAATGAACATGGGGGTGTATATATCTTTTCAAATTAGTGTTTTTATTTTCTTCTGATAAACACCAAGAGGTGGAATTGCTAGATAATATGGCAGCTGTATTTTTAATTTTTGAGGAATCTCCATACTGTTTTCCATAGTGGCTGCACCAATTTACAATCCCATCAACAGTACACAAGGGTTCCCTTTTCTCCACATCCTTGCCAACATTTGTTATTTCTTGATCTTTTTGTTAATAGCCATTCTAACAGGTGAGAAGGGATATCTCACTGTGACTCCTAACAGATAAACCACCAAAAGACCAGTGGCTAGAGGCAAACTGCTAGCCTGGTGTGTGAAGATAGCTCTGGGCTCAGGCTTTTGAGACATATTACCACCTACCTGTGTCATGCCTGCAAGTCTTTGTTTTTTTGGTGTTAAGTAGTATGAGTTCTTTATATATTTTGGATACTAACCCTTTATTGGATGTATAATTTACAAATATCTTCTTCTATTCAGTAAGTTGTCATTTCATTTTGTTGATGGTTTCCCATGCTGTGCAAACTTTTTAGTTTGATGTAGTCCTGTTTGTTTATTTTTTTCTTTTGTTTCCCTTGCTCGAGGAGATAAATCAAAAAAGATATTGCTAAGAGTGATGTCAAAGAGTTTACTGCCTATGTTTTCTTCTAGGAGTTTTATGGTTTCGGGTCTAACATTTAAGTCTTTAATCCATGTTGAGTTTATTTTTGTGTATGGTATAAGAAACTAGTCCAAATTCATTTTTTACATGTATCTGTCCAGTCTGCCAACGCCACTTACTAAAGAGGCTGTCTTAACCCTATTGTATATTCTTGCCTATTTTGTCATAGATAAACTGACTATATAGGCATGGGTTTATTTCTGGGCTCTTTATTCTGTTCCATGGATCTATATGTCTGTTTTTATATCTGTATCTTACTGTTTTGATTACTGTAGCTTTGAAGTAGAGTTTGAAATCTGGGAGTGTGCTATCTCTCACTTTGTTCTTTCTCAAGAATTCTTTAGCTATTCAGGGTCTTTTGTGGTTCTATATACATTTTAGGATTAGTTGTTCTAGTTCTGAGAAAAGCGTCTTTGGTATTTTAATAAGGATTGCACTGAATCTGCCTATTACTTTAGGCAGTAAGGACATTTTAATAATATTAATCCTTCCAAACCATAAACGATATATATGCTTCCATATACCTTATTTATATATTCTTCAATGTCTTATAGTTTTCAGAGCACAGGTCTTTCACATCTTTGATTAAATTTATTCATAGGTATTTTATACTTTTTTGATGCAACTATAAATGGGATTGTTTTCTTTATTTCTTCATTATTGGTGTATAGAAATGCAACAGGTTTCTGTTTATTGATTCTGTATCCTGCAACATTACTGAAGTCATTTATTAGTTCTAGTAGATTTTGGTGGTGTCTTTAAGGCTTTCTTTTTTTTTTTCCCTCCCCTCCACCTTTAAGGTTTTCTATATAGAGTATCATGTCATCTGCAAATAATCAGTTGTATTACTTACTTTCCAGTTTGGATGCCTTTTATTTCTTTGTCTTGTCTAATTACTGTGGCTAGGATTTGAATAGAAGTGGTGATTTGGACATCCTTGTCTTGCTCCTGATCTTAGAGGAAAGGCTTTCAGCTTTTCACTATTGAGTATGACATTATCAGTGGGTTTGTCACATATGGCCTTTATTATGTTGATATATGTTTCTTCTATATCCACTTTGTTGAGAATTTTATCATAAAAGGATGTTGAATTTTTTGAAATGCTTTTTCTGCACCTATTGAGATGATCATATGATTTTTATCCTTTATTTTGTTAATGTGATATAGTGCATTAATTGATTTACAGATGACGAACCATCCTTGCATCCCTGGGATGAATCCCACTTGGTCATGGTTTATAATCTTTTTAATGTGTTGTTGAATCTGGTTTGCTAATATTTTGTTGAAAACTTTTGCATCTATGTTCATCAAGGATATTGGCCTGTAATTTTCTTTTTTTGTAATGTCTTTATCTAATTTTGGTATCAGAGTAATGCTGGCTTCATAAAATGACTATCTTAAAATCAAAGAACCATTAAATCAAACCATCATTAGTCAAGGACCATCTGCATAATTATGAAGACTATGTCTACAGAGAAAGATTTAAGATATAATATCAAGGACATAAAAATCTTATGTATGGTATGATCGTGGCCAGGTAAAAAAAGAAAGAAGAAAGCATGTGGTGTATTTGTGCATATGTGTGCAGGCATATGAAAAAAGAACACATGAAATAGTTACATTAGAGTGATGGGCTCATACTGTGGTTACACCCTATAACTTACATAGAGAAAAGTATGCTCTGGTAGCCTTTATTTTTTTATGCTAACAGGACTTTATTGATGTACAATTTACATGCAGTTCAATACACAAATATTATGTGTACAGTTTGATGAATTTCGACAACTATATACACTGATATAACCATCTAACAAATCAAAATATGGAACATTTCCATCACCCCATGAAGTTTTCTTGTGACCTTTGCCCCTAACTCCACACTTGTGAGAACTCCACATATCACAACCCTCCTTCCCATAAATTTTTG